ACTCATTGCTGCACTCATTATGTCTCCCATGAGGTGTGTAGCCTCGCGTTGTCATACTGGCTAAAATTGCATCGAATTGCGTCCTAATGTAGGCAACGCCGACTTGAGTGCGAAACAATGAGCAGCTGCGCACTTCTCGATTGCAGCATCAGTCACTCTCGAGAAAGTCTTAAAATTCGTTAATGATTATTAAGACGTGATATTCCTGATTTATTTCGTACTGGCGATAAATAATAAACGCTTCGTAAAATTTAGTCTAGGGATGATTATAAATTAGCGATTGTGTGGTATGGTCACGTATAGGTCGTCAATTTTTCCTGGATAAATATTCTTCGGGGAAAAAGGTCCACGTGCGCAAACAATTTTAATATCGTCACGCTCCGCTCTTTCGTAATTACGGAATGGAAAATTAAAATCGTGTCGAGATTCGATTATTAATTCGAAATGCAAAAAAAACGACAAATCAGGTTGGTATAGTCTCTCACGTTGCCGTCGGTGTGAGTTTTTAATTCCACGGACGTTGCTCGCCCCGCGTAGGGTACGCGAATAAATAATGAATGCTCGCATAATACGCGCGGCTCATACGGGGGTTTAATATGTTTAAATAAATTATTGGTCGGCTCGTCGATGCTGCATGAGTGTGCTTTGTATTTAATTAGGCGAACCGACGTATGATGTTGGGCGATGTTCTCCAGCCTATTCCGTGATCCTGTCAATGAGACTCACGTCAAAACTGAATTATGAGAGCAGGAGAGAGGGAGAGGGGGAGAGAGAGAGAGAGAGGGGGGGGAGGATAGAAAGCGGGAGAGAGGGGCAGAAGGGAGAAAGCGAGCGAGAGAGAGAGCGGAAGACAAAGAGGGAAAGCCAGAATGAGCAGGTGAGACAGAGAGACGGAGAGAAAGCGTTAGACAGAGAAAAAAAAAATTCATAGAGAGAGAGATATATATAACAGAAGAGAAGGGGAAAGCCGGATAGAAAGGGGGAGACCGAGAAAGAGAGCGAGATAGAGAGAGAGAGAGAGAGAGAGAGAGAGAGAGAGAATTGGAAAGGAGCGCGAAAGCGAAGGGATATAAATAGATAGAGAGAAATAGAGAGAGAGAGAGAGAGAGAGAAGGAGAGAGCCGCGCAGTTTTTGCGGTGTATCATGCAGTTACGCTTGGCCGCACTCTGCCGGCAGCAAACGCGCACACGCGACAATGGAAGAGACGAGGCGATGTGAAAAAAAAACGAACCACGAGCTCGCAGTCTGTCGTCAGCCTCGACGCGTTAGCCCTCCATGTTCATGGAACATTAGAGCAGCGATGGGATACATTAGGCTGGTCTATACGAGACGCGTGCGCAATCTCTTCTCCTCTCTCCTCTTCTCTTCTCTCTCTGCTCTCTCTCTTCTCTTATTCTCTCTTTCTCTCTCTTCTCTCTCTCTTTCTCTTAACTTTCTCTCTCTCTCTTCTCTCTCTCTCTTCGTCTCTTCTCTCTAATGTCTCCATTCCCTCTCTCGTCTCTCTTCTCTCTCTCTCTCTCTCTTCTCTCTCTCTCTCTCTCCTCTCCTCTTCTCTCTCTCTCTCTCTCTCTCTCTCTCTCTCTCTCTATCTATCTGCTATCTATCTAGCTATCTAGCTATCTTATCTATCTATCTCTGTCTGTCTTCTCTCTCTCTGCTCTTCTCTCTCTTCCTTCTCGCTGTCTGCCTTTTCTGCTCACTCTCTTCTCTCTCGCTCTTCTCCTCTATCTCTCATCTCTCTCTCTCGCTTTCTCTCCCTCTCACTCTCTCCCTCTCACCTCTCTCTCCTCTCTCTCTCTCTCTCTCTTCTCTCTGTCTCTCTCCTCTCCTCTCTTCCTCCTCTTCTCTTTTCTCTCTGTCTTCTCCTTTTCTCTCTCTCTCTCTCTCTATCTATCTATCTATCTATCTACTAATCTACTCGTATCCATCTTATATCTATCTCTGTCTTCTCTCCCCTCTCGCCTCTCCTCTTCTCTCTTCTGTGTCTCTCTCTCCTCTCTCCTCTCCTTCCTCTCTTCTCTCTCTCCTTCTCCTTGTCTTTCTCCTCTCTCTCTCTTGCCCACTCTCTCCTCTTTCTCTCGGGTCTGTCTCTATTCTCTCTTCTCTTCCTCTCCTCTCTCTCCTCTCTCTCTTTCTCCTCTCTTTTCTCTGTCTGTCTCCTCTCCTCTTTCTCTTTCTCTCCCTGTCTCTCCCTGGTCCTCTTCTCTCTCTCTCTCATCTCTCTTCTCTCTCTTCTCTCTCGCATCTCCCTCTCTGTCTCTCTCTCTCTCTCTCTCTCTCTCTCCCTTTTCTCTCTCTTGGGGGCCTCCTGTCTCCTCTCTCCCATCTCTCCTCTCTCTTTCTCTCTCTCTCTCTTCCTTCTCTCTCTCTCTCTCTCTCTTCTTTCTTTCTCCGTCCTATCTCTAATTCTCTCTCTCTCTCTCCTCTCTCTCTCCTCTCTCTCTCTCTCTCCTCGTTCTCCTTGTCTCTCTCTCTCTCTTTCCTCTCTTCTTCTTTCTC